CGCCACCAGTGAACTCATAAACTGACAACTCTGGTGCATCAAATGTGTCAAATAGTCTCTTTGCTTTATACGTAGACTTAAAACTAGAGAAAATAATTCCTCAACTGGAATTAAAGTGGGTAGACTTAGTGCCATTATTTGTTGAATCTTCAACATGCAAGTCCAAAAAATTTATATTTGGGTTTATTTCAGTAGGTGCTGACACCCTGAACTCATTTTCCATAAAAGGCAGTTAATTTTGTGCACCTTCTTCTAAGTTCGTTTCATTATAAAGATTTTCTAATCAGGATCACTGTCTTGTGCTCTTCTACTGGATTAATTTTATACACTGATGCAAAATCAGCTAAGCAAAGAGTTTCAAACGGATAGAGCTCACATAACGGTCAAATATAATAGCTACATATTTCAGTCGAACCTGAAGGAAGGTTCTGAAGTTCCGCTCTAGGTTTTACCATTCGAACACGTTCCTCAGGTCGAGAGGTATTTATAAATATTTCTGCATTACTTGCCATAAATATAATCATGATTGTATTCCGAATGCCTTCTTCAGTGAATTTGATCACATGAGCCTCTTCAAAGGAACAGGGTAAAGGTATTACAATGTTGTTTACAGAAGTGTGTGTATATATACTTCTCGCATAAATTAAAGGAACAAAAAATTTTTGCAAATTTTTTGCCAATTTTCAACAGGCTGTATTTCAGTGAAAAATGGTCGCACAGGAAATAAAAAAACCTTGATTTTGAAGCCTGAAGACTCTAGTTTAAGAGTTTTTTGGTTAATAGACCGATCGGTTCAGTGGTTTACCCGGACCGATTGATAGAAATTTTGAAAAAATTAAGGGAACAAGATTTTGTTTCTTAAATTAGACCTAATCCTTTTCAAATTCAATAATTTAATTTTTTTTTCGACTTTTTACTCAAGTTTGAGATTTTTGAAAAGTGAGTATCAAAAAAAATCCAAAATTTTTTTTCAAAAATTCGAAAATTTCGAAATTTTTTTTTGAAAATTTAAAAAATACTTGAAAATATTTTTTTTCGTTTTTTTAAAAAATTCAAAGTTTTTGACAAACGTTTTGATTGATGATTGATTCACCGCCAGAATTAGCGTTATCCAAAGCATACCACGTGGAGGTTGCACTGGATTTACGCTTCTTGTGAGAAAGAACGATTATTTTTTTCAGCGATTTTTTTTACTAATCCTTTTTCGATATTTTGGCACTGCAAGAACGATTATTTTCTCAGCGATTTTTTTTTCGTGCCATTACGCGTTACAAAACAGTTTTTTTCAAAAGTAACCCTTTTCGATATTTTTAAAGAAAAAATTCTGATAGCAGATTTTAAAATTTGATCCGTGCCATAATGCCCCAGGCGACATTTATCAGCCCCAGAAGTCGCTCGGCTTGTGACTCTTGTTCAGGGGGGTACAGATATCGGCAGGTAGGTGAACAACTCGGTGTAAGTGCTTCGGTTGTGTCTCGTGCTTACAACCGATTTCTGGAAACAAACGGAAATGAACGACGTGCTGGACAAGGTCGCCATCAAGCAACGACTCGTCGAGATGACCGAGCAATCATTCGACAGGCTATCCAAGACCCTTTTGCTCCAGCCAACGTCATCGCTCGAAACTTCCCAAACCGTCAACAACAACGACAACGACAGCCGCGAAACATTTCTCGATCAACAGTCAGAAATCGTCTTCGCGAATCTGGACTCCGTGCTAGAACTGCTGCTCGTGGACCGATGTTGACCGTTGCACATCGTAGAGCTCGTCAGCAGTATGCTCGCGACCATGTGAACTGGCAAATGAGAAATTGGAACAACGTTTTTTTCTCTGACGAGTCTCGATTTTGCCTGTATGGTAACGACCGGAGACCTCGAGCTTGGCGTCGTACTGGTCAACGTTATGAACAACGTTTCATTCGTCCCGTAGTTGCTTACGGTGGAGGTTCGGTGATGGTGTGGGCTGCAATTTCACGGAATTCTCGAACTCCTTTAGTAATTGTTCGAGACAATCTCAATGCTAGGCGCTATATCGACCGAATATTGCGACCTCACGTGACCATAGAGCACGTCTGGGACATATTGGACCGCCGATTGCGTCAAAATTATCTGAATCTGAATAATTTGCCAGCATTAGAGAACGCTTTGATAAGAATTTGGCGCCAGAATGATCCGAAATTGCATTTCGAATATGCGACGAGATTTTTGAAGATTGAGTATCAAAAAAAAATTTCGAATTTTTGAAAACAAAATTTTGGATTTTTTTTTTGATACTCAATCTTCAAAAGTCTCAAAATTGAGTAAAAAGTCGAAAAAAAATTAAATTATTGAATTTGAAAAAGATTAGCTCAAATTTAAGAAACAAAATCTTGTTCCCTTAATTTTTTCAAAATTTCAATCAATCGGTCCGGGTAAACCGCTGAACCGATCGGTCTAAAAATTTAAGGGGGTCTTGGGGGTACTTTAGACTATAAAATTTTCTTCTAACCTAAGCTTTTGCCCCAATATTGTCGAAGACACAGTCGATTAACCAAATAAGGAGAAAATGGCATTTTTTTGCTGTTTTTTTACGTTACCGTTTCAGGTGGAAAAAAAATTTTTTTTCAATCAACCATAACAGATTTTTGTAGGAAATTTTGTGAAGAAAACGAAACCGCCCCTCCACTTGCCAGGCGATCAGTAGTTTCAGAGATATCGGCAGTTGAGTGAAAAAGGATTCTTTTGCATTCAAAATTCGATATCTCGAAGACAAATGGTCGTATCTGACTTCTGCAAAAATCAAATTGAAGCTGAATTAACAGGCTATGCGACCTATACATTGGTTTAGCTTGAAAAATTTGTTTCATGCCCGTAGAGCGAAAACAAAAATGAAAAACATTTTTAAAATATTTTTTTCGTGCTTTATCCAAGAATTTCATGGTTACTGGGGCTCAAAAAAATTTTTAACCAAAAAATTCTTAAACTAGAGTCTTCAGGCTTCAAAATCAAGGTTTTTTTATTTCCTGTACGACCGTATAAAATGGAAGACGGATGCAGCATTTGGGTGATCTTGACCAATAGTTTCAAATTGTAGATTGCGTAGTTGATGTGATGCGTGATGTCTTCTTGTATGTACAAAATCTATACTTTGTTCAACCGATACTATCCGGTTAAAAGCTATCTTATGATGCCACCAACACAATATTTAATCAACGTGCATAAAATACAAGGTTACGACCACATTGAAAACATATGTTTGATGACGAAGTTGGTTCAAAATGGTTGGTTGCCATAGACTTTTCAATATGTTTGAGTTCCTTTAGATCTTTGAAACGGCTTAAAATATTATTCATAAGAAGCTATTAACTGATAATTTTCTAGTAAGCAATTCAAAATTTTGTATTAGAGACGATATGAAGTAGTTTTACATTTAAAAAAACTTATTTTAGTATTCAAAATTATTTCAATTTACCAAACTTTTTTAATTTTTAACAAAAAATGTGTACACATATCAACTCTAATTGGCTGATGATATTTGAAAGAATGACATATTTAAATAAGTCGGATCTGTTAAAAAATGTTTAAGTTCGTGGCGGTTGCGCATAGTTTACAAAAAAACGTTTCAACATGGAATTCAATTTCTTCAGAATGGGGCTGACAGATCGAGATGACTGCAGAAAATGCTAAGAGCAAGGCACCAGGGAAACAATGGAGCATATCTTACGCACTTGTCCCGCATTAGCAGGGCAACGCTTTAAACATTTGGGGGCTCGACAGTATGAGACACTGGAAGAGGTATCGACTGGGAGGCCACAGAGTCTATTGAAATTCGCGTCAACCGCATGTATCCTAAAGGCTGGCTACTGCTCATGCACTTCGTACCTGAACTCTACCTGGTATCGCAAAGCACCAAACTGGTCTAAAGTATCACGACAGTGACGAAGGTCGGGCACGGGCAGGGACAGTTTGCCCCTGTTACAGTTGGGAGGTATCTAGCTTAGGTCTGTAATAATATTATATAATATAATGTAACTTGGTTAGTGGGGGCTATGCGCCAGTGGACCTACTTTCCCCTTCACTCGTGGGAGCTGAAGCTAAGTCTAACTCCAGGAAGGCAACAACACCAGCGTTTTCCGGAACCAAACTCTGCAGCCAAAGTACCGCTACAAAGCAAGGGAAGGAGTGTAAAAGTGTTGTTGCTAGTAGTGGGAATAGCTTATTTTAAAATTCGGTGACCCACCGAAAGTGAGGTATGAGGTGAAGCGTGGTCTGCCTATCTGCTTTGAAGGGTGCAGCTGTAACCGCCGACCAATGAGGAGTTTATAAACGAGCTGCAGGAGCTGATTTCGCGAAAGCGTTTCTAAACCATTTTAAGCTTGAGTCGCCAGCAGCGGCAGTCAAGAAACAGAGGTTCACTAAAGAGGATAAACAGTCAGCCAAGGGCATGACATCCGCTAAATCGTTTGATGATGTGACCCGGAACCTTATTATCATTGGTTTCTGAATGAGGAAGATCCCGACGGAAAACTCCTCATAGCCGAATTGAAATAGGTGCAAGCTGGATCCCGTCAATTGAGTAATAATATTATTAGTTTAGGTGGCATTATAAAATGTAGTGTGACCAATACAATTCAATTCCAAAGCATTCAACAAACAAACTTTAATTTATGTATTTATTAATAGAGTAGTTCTTTGTTCTCAGTACTTTGATACATTAACAAGTTTCTTTATTTAAAATTTGAAATTAGAGACAAAGAAATTACTTAAAGATTTATACAAAACCTGAATGAAAAAAACATGTCGATAACAAATATTAAATTTTCTATAACGGAGTCAAAAAGCATAATCCAATAAAATTAAAATATTCTAACTTAGCCCTCCCAGAAATTTTTCTTAAGGTTTTCGAAATATGTATTTCACATATTTTTTCTGTTATTATTTATACGAGATCTTTTCTATCAAAATTTAAATCGAGTTAATTTAAGAAAATAATCAATTGGTTATTAATATTAAGTTATTACCTGGTCAGCTCAACAGTGACCACTCCCTTAGGCTGGATGTTTATACTTTTTCCCATGAACTTTATTTTTGGGTTAATCGAACCATAGAACTTGTAGTAAGAAGATTCTGCATGAAAAGCAGAAATCGGTGGATGATGCGATACTTGTTCGCATAAAATTTTGAAATCTTTCCTTTGCAGTTCGTACGTTTCTCCCAAAAGTGGATTGAATGGTTTACCAACACGTTCCCAGTTTGATGCTAATGCCGACACAGCGAAAGCTGAAATAATGAAACTACGTATAAAACTTAACTTATTTAATATAATATGTAATACATTTTTTTTGAAATACATTACTATTTTTATTTCTCTCATTCGCAGNTGTCGTAAAACAGACAAAAACAGCCACATAGCCTTTCATCAGAGTGGGAGACCTTAACATGGACGCCTTTATTTGAAAAGGCCCAGCAAAGTCGACACCTGTGATGGAGAAAGGCTATGTGGCTGTTTTTGTCTGTTTTACGACAAAAGCAGTGCACCTTGAGCTTTGTACTAATCTGACGAAGGAGGCTTTTCTTGCGGCATTTGCTCGCTTCGTCGGTCGACGCGGCTTTCCATCGAAGATTATGAGCGATAATGGTAAAACATTTATCGGCTCTCAAAGAGCCACCGAAAAACAATTTGTGGACTTAATCAAACAAGTCTCACCTGAGATTGTACAAAAGTACGCGCCCCAAGGCATTAATTGGCAATTCATCCCCCCAAGCGCTCCTCATATGGGTGGTTTATGGGAATCAGCTGTAAAAAGCTTCAAATCCCACTTCAAAAAAGTAGCTGGAAATTACAAATTCAATTACGAAGAATTCACGACATTATTAATTTGAATTGAAGCCGTTCTCAATTCACGGCCTCTTACAATCCTTTCGCAAGATCCCTCCGATTTCACAGCCTTAACTCCAGGGCACTTTCTCAAAGGAACACCCATTCTGGCCATACCTGAGCCAGGCGTGGAGTCGCTATCCTTATTAAATCGCTGGGAAAGAATCAAAATACTCCATCACGATTTCAGCCGTCGATGGAAAGAAGAATACATAAAGGATCTCCATAAACGATACCGTTGGAAGACTCCTGAACAAGCACCAAAACTTGAAGATTGTGTCATCATCCATGATGATTGTCTACCCCCTACCGTATGGCGGCTTGGGCGCATAAGAAAGCTACATTACGGCTCCGACGGTCACATACGAGTGCTTGATCTTCGTACACAAGGCGGAATGCTAACCAGACCGCTCGTGAAGCTATGCTTTCTCACAAGCGTCGATAATTGCGACACAGCAAATCGCAAACAATCAACCGATACTACCGCAATACAATAAAATAATCAAATCAAGAAGACAAAAACAGAAAAACTCGTTAATAACCGTTAAAAATAAAAATAACTAATAAAAAAAATGGTCGATCAATACGATGACCCCTTTCATGCCACATAACGTGGCACGATCATCCATATCCTTTGTATGACAAATCTGCATAATTAAACAACTCTTTCATACAGATTAACATGGATGTGGATACGCCAACTACTCCCACGCCAACTGTGCGGTCGGCTACCAACGTGCCACGCACGGGGCCTACCCCAACGGCCCGATCTGCAGCTGCAACTGCCCCTGCAAGCGCACCTGCAACGACTCCGATGTCAGCAACAGTTCCTCGCGGTGGACGCGACCTTCACCGACGCTATCATCGCCCCCTTCAGAGGCATATCGTATACGATGTCCCATTTGTCGGCGCCCACATCGCCTGCAACATTGTGGGATTTTTAGAAGTATGCGACCGTTACAACGACAGCAAGTTGCATGGGCACTGTCTAAACTGCCTATCGCACACGCATGGGACTCAAGAGTGTTTTTTTTTTTTTTTCTTGTCGGAGGGGAATCTTACATAGATACCGATATTTATTAGGATGCGGTTCGTACTGGCCGCTAAGGGGTACACCTATTTCGGGACCACGCCCAATCAGGAGTATCGTCCCAAGTTGGACTAGCGGCGCAGTACGCCTACGTACTAAACCCTGAACTCCGTCACCTGCAGCTTTGGTGAAAGACCCTGCGGTACCGCCGTTAGGCATTTCATCGCAGGGTCAGCTTAGCCTTTTGGCTCACGTCATTTGTTCGCTATTCGCGGCTCAAGCTTCACTGCTTTTCTGTCTTTCGGCTCTTCTCAGCTCTTGGATTATCAGAGCTGTCGTGTTTTCCATAGTGCTCCATACATGTCTCGATTCCAACATATAAGGACTACTATATTATCTGGAGTTATTTGGTCTGCCACTTCTTTTTCCAGATTCTGTCTTTCTTTTGAAAATTTTGGGCAGTGAAAAAAGATATGCTTTGCATTTTCGTTACTGATACGACAAAAGGAGCAAGCGACTCCATTGTCATGTCCGTACTTATGCAAGTACTCTCGGAAACACCCATGCCCTGTTAGGAACTGCGTCATGTAGAAGTCAGTTTCTCCATGTTTTCTTTCCACCCATGCTTGTACATTACTAATTAATCGGTGAGTCCATCTCCCTTTGAGTGATGCGTCCCAGCGATTCTGCCATTCTTGTGTGATGGGTTTTCTTTCCTCTTTGCGTTCTGCCAATGTTAACTTCCTGCCCAAACTCTTACTTTTATCGTAAATTCGTTTCAGTTCACAAGCCATTATATCTGGTGGCATTATTCCTGATATAATGCTAACAGCTTCATTTGACACCGTACGAAATGCACTCACGGTTCTGATGGCACTCAACCGGCATACCGTTTTTTGTATTAACGCTGGTCCCCATACAGGTACGGCATACATTATGATTGACTGGCTAACCTTAGCCAGGAGCGCTCTGCTGCTCTGTTTTGGTCGTCTAATGTTGGCCATTATTCTGTTTAAGGCCGCATTCACACGGGCGGCTTTTTCGCAGACTTTCTCGATATGGACTTTATAACTTAGTCGTGCGTCTATCATTACCCCCAGATACTTCAAAGATATTTGTGTCGAGATGTTATGCCCATCTATACTAAGAGAAACCGTCTCCAGTTTTTTTCTGCTTGTAATAAGCACTGCCTCGGTTTTTTGTTCCGCAAGTTGGAGTTTTGCGCTTGCTAGCCACTGCTTTATCTGTTGTACTGTATCACTAAATATATTTTGGATTTGGTGTAGTTCTTTAGCTACTATTGTCACTGCAATGTCGTCGGCATATCCGATTATCTTTACTCTTTAAGCGCAACAGGGAGACGCAGTAATACCATCATACAGTACGTTCCACAGGATCGACCCAATACGGAGCCTTGTGTAACCCCCAACGCCGTGAACTTTATATTTTTTGGTCCTTCTTCTGTTTCATAGAGCCAGCAGCCCCTGTCCAATAAATAGCCTTATGACTTTTCAGCAGATAAGATGGTGTTCTCATTGTTTCTAGTGCTTTGCAGTATATGGGCCAGCTGGCCGAATTAAACGCGTTTTTTTCAATCGAAAGTAATGACAGCGCAAGTAATTTGCTTTTTGCCGTAAATCCACTATCTCCTTCATAGCTTTTTCTGCTACCCTCTCTGTCAGCTTCTTGATTGCAGTCAACGGTGAGCGTTCTTCTGCGAAAAACCACATGTGGTTGTCGGATAGGCGCAAGTTCCACTTTCCAGTGATTTCTAACCGCGCGCAAGATTAGTCGCTCCCGGATTTTTTTCCATTGTAATCGATCATGCAGAGTGGTCGATACCGAAAGTTCGGTTCCCCGGCGGTTTTGTTCGTCTTCTGCAGAGTACGAGCGTTGTATTTTCCATATCTATTGGGGAAACACCTTTCTCGCAGCAATCGTGTATATTAACCACCGTGATACATAGTGCGTTAATTTTACTGCGAGTTCAAGAGCCCTGTTCGCTATACATCCAGTCCTGCCTTTAGAGATTTCTCGAACCGCTCCCACCGCTTGTGTACTTCCATATCATTGACCTCTGGCGCATCTGTGGCTTCTGGCTCTTCAAGGCCTTAGAAGCTCTACTTTCTTGGTTTTGTGTAGGAAACATGGCTTCAACTACCTTTTGGAGTAATGAGGGACAGGGTTAGGTTGCTTGTCCTTTGCCCCCTCCAAACCTTGACATTAGATTTTAATATGCTTCGCGCCCACGGGGTTTCTCGTCTTACTTTGTCACATAGAGCTTTGAAGCAGCATTTTTGCTCCTGTTTTATCGCCCTTTTTGAGCTTGCTCGTTTCTCTTGAAAATATCACGTAGTAACCGTATATTCGCCTCTTCGCTTGGTTCCGCTGACATAGGCGCATCTTTGTGACAATCGTTCTCAGTAATTTCGATTTCACTGTTCCTTCTCCTATATATGCCGGCTTTCTCCGAGCAGTATGTATCTTTTTGATCATGGCGGCATCGCAAGCCTTTAGTAATATGAAATGAATGCGCAGAAGTTTGGCCTGCTGGTCTACGTCATTAGTTTCCATTTGGGTTTTCGTCAAGAATAAATTGAAAACATCCTTCGTCCAGTGTTTCGATCCTCCATCCTTTGGGCCTGTACTTTTTGTTGGCAGAGGTTCCTTCTTGGCCGTTCCATGTCCTTAGTTGATTATTTTATCATTATTGCCAGGTGATTCACTCTGGGTATAGTGTCGAGTACACCGCCAGTCGTTGATCGCAATAACGATTCTGCGGCAAAAGACTATATCAATAATAACGGAAGCCACGTCCATTCTTTCTCAAAAGGTGTTTTTTGTGTCCCTGTGCTTCAACAGTTACAAACTCTAGCAAAACCGAAGTTTTGAGCAATGTTTACTGCCTCTGCGTTTAGTGCTCTTGCTTCCCATTTCTTAGAGCCGCAGGATTAAAGTCCCCCTGCCAATTATTAGTGGTGGTGGTCATTGGCTTCTTTCACACTTCGTCCTGCTTCTTGAGAAGGTCGCTCGTACTAGCAGCTCTATTCTGCGCCATTTACCAGCTGCTCCACATGGGGATCCCTTCGGTATCGACGTTCTTCGAAGAGAGCTGCAAGGGTACCGTTGTTTTTGTTGATGCTATTGTTGTTTTATTGTTTGTTTTTTCATTTATGTCTCCATTAATTCAGTTTTACCAGGCATCGTGTGCAGGGGGGCGGGTCGAAATAGACAGGAAACGGGTATTACCCCTGAGACGATGCCGCTACCCCAGTTCCCTGAGGCTCCTGTTCCTTCGCTTCTACAGTTCCGGAATCACGACGAAACCGGCAGCTCGCCGGACAACGCAGGTCTACTAGTTTCTGCGCCCAATGGACACTTT